AGTGATTTCTTGCTCAAATAGGTAGGGTCTTTGGGTTTAACAAACATTAGGCTACTGTGCTCATTTACTTCTATATATTGTATACATAATCTAGCAAATATTAAGAACAATAAAGATACCCAATTCTCTAGGATTGTTTAGGTACAGTACTGTCTTTAGAAAGATAGCCTAGTTCATCATACAAAGATATTTCTAATCCCAAGATTCTGCAACTTGTATTAGGGTCTCAGCTGGGTGAACTACATAAATCATGTGGGCAGGAGTCCCTTTGGGTTAACTTTTACATATAAAGTCCTTTTTGATCTAAGTTCCCTTAAGTTTTTCTCTCCTACAATGACTCAATATCAATTAAAGTGGTTTTGCCCAAAGTCCTTGTGTTTCAACTTCTGGTTGCATCAGCAGATGCCTGGTCTTAGTGAGTGATGAAGATGCTCTCTGTGAAGGTCACCTTTCTAGCACTGGGACTTTTCTGTCAGTTGTAAACTAGGACTTTCTGCTACTGAGGATGTGGGTCAGGATGATTGGGAGCATTACTGCCTCTTCCAAAGTAAAGCATTATAGTTTATAAATCTGCAATATAATTATTATTGTTTTTATCTTGGCCTACTAATTATATCAAGATTAGTATGTCAACCACAGTCCAACACTCTCTTTGAAAGTTCAATAAAATTCACCTGTTATGTGGTCACACCCCTTTCCCCGTCCTTACTTTTTTCAAGTCCTTTGTGTCTAAATGTAGCATTATGTAGGGGCCCACTAAGAGTGTATGGGTAGAGATTTTCTGCAGACAGATGAGAATATTTTCTCTCATTAATGTTCTACTTCCTTAGAAAAAGTTCAGGGGAAAAAAAAGGAGGAAACCATCTTAGTGCCAAGAAAAATATTATAAATGCAGTGCTGGTTCATTAGTGTTGGTTATCTATAATTTTTGAATTATGCTGTCAGAAGAAGGAAGTAAATATAAATCAGATTCATTGGAATCTTACATTTGCAGCAAATGGATATTTTAGAACTCAATTTTAAGAAGTTAAATTTAAGTAACATTTTCCCCAATCAAAGGAAAAAGGACTGAGATGAGAATGTGAAATTCTATTAGAGATTCTCTTTTTCAAGAATCTACTAACCTATTAATCAAAACAAAGACAAATAATAAATTTCCAAGAAAAAAGTTGGACTTAAAAACCTTCTCATCTTGCATTTGAGTAAGCAAAAATTATATTGTGGGTTAAGTTAAATATGCCAGTGCTTAAAATGTCAAACAAATCATTGTTTGTGGATCCTTTAAGGAAATTATGAAATTCCAAAAAGAATCCACTAATACATTGAAAGATGATGCCAAAGAAAAGCACAAAGGGAAGATATATTGTTAAATACTCTGAATACTAAGACATAACTATTCTAAAGGCTGCCCAAAACCAGAATTCAAGTGACTATTCCAGGTGTAAAATTTGTAATTAACAATGATTGTATATTTAGATCTCTATTCAGGTCATACCCACTAACTATGGTGTCCTTAAGGCTCTATCCTAGGCCCTTTTCTCTTTTCACTCTATACTATCCTACTTGGTAATATCACCTCCCATAGTCTTGGCTGTCATCTTCATGAAGATGATTTCCATATCCATCTATCTAACCCTAATTCCTCTCCTGTGCTCAGCCCCATGTCAACTATCTATTTTATATGCTATCAGTATCTCAAACTCAGTATGTCCAAAAGAGAACTCATATTTTCCACTAAACCCTCTCCCATCTTCTTAACTTTCCCTTCATTGTCCAGTGGATCATCATCTTCTCAGTCACCCAGGCTCATGGCCTCAGTGTCCTCCTCTATGTCTCACTGGCATTTATCCCATATATCCAACTTCTCCCACTCACACAGCCACCGCCCTTGTCTGGGCTCTCATTACTTCTTACCAGGTCTATTGAAATAATCTCCTAAATGGTCTCCTTGTCTCAAGTGTCTACTCCCTGATTTATCCTTCAAATTGAGAATAAATTCAGCACAAATTTGATCATATTCTTCTCTTACTTAATATCCTCCAATGGTTTTCCTGTTACCTCCAGGATCCAATGTAAAATCCTCCACTTGGCATTAAGAGCCCCTCATAACCTGGTGCCTTCCTATCTTCTCAGTCATGCTACACTTTACTTCCCTTCACACAGTCCACCATCCAGCTATCTCAATCCTTTTGCTGCTCCTCAAAAATGACACTTTATCTTCCAATTCAGCACATTTATATTGGCATTTTCCCATGCCTAGGATGCTCTTCTCTCACAAAGACTTTCCTTTTCCCCCTCCTTTTTATATTTTTTTATGTGTCGCGGACCCTTTTGGCAGTCTGATGAAGCCTATGTACCCCCTTTCAGAACAATGTTTTTTAAAAACATAAAAAAACACATAAGATTATGAAGAAAACCAACTATTTTGAAATAAAGTTGTAATTTTTCCCCGTACTTGTTCAGAGACCCCCTGAAGTATGTCCTCAAACCACAGATTAAGAATCTTTGCTCATAGATTACCTTCCATCTACGCTGCATATGTATTGTGTGTACATAGTTGTTTGCATATTTGATCCAGTGACAGTGGCCTCCTGACTATTCCACAAACAAGATCTCCCCTCTCTCCATTCTGGGCATTTTCTGGATGTTGCCCATGTTTAGAATGCTCTCCCTCCTTCTTTCCACCTCCTGGCTTTCCTGGCTTCTTTTAAGTCCCAAATAAAATTCCATCTGCTATCAGAAGGCTTTCTCAATCTCTCTTATTTCTAGTGTTTTTCCTCTGTTGATTAGTAGAGAGAGTTCCAGGCCTGGAGTCAGGAAGACTCATCTTGCTGAGTTCAAATGTGGCCTCAGATACTTACTGGCTGTGTGACCCTGGGCAAGTCATTTAATCCTGTTTGCTTCAGTTTCCTCATCTGTAAAATGAGCCGGAAAAGGAAATGGCAAACCAGTCCAGTATCTTTGCCAAGAAATCCCCAATAGGGCCACGGAGAGTCAGACCTGACTGAACAGATGTAGGACAGACGTTGTTGTTGTTCAGCTATGTCTGACTCTGTGACCCGATTTGGTGTTTTCTTAGCAAAGATACTGGAGTGGTTTGCCATTTTCTTTTATAGCTCATTTTATAGATGAGGAAACTGAGGCAAACAGGGTTAAGTGACTTGCTGAGGGTCACACAGTTAGTAAGTGTCTGAGACTAGGTTTGAATTCAGCGACATGAGTCTTCTTGACTTTAGGCCTGGCACTCTATCCACTGCACCACCTAGCTGCCCTATCTTGTATGTAACTTGCTTGTTTATATATTTTTATTTTTTGAGTCCTCCGTTAGATTACAAACTTCTTGAGGGCAGAGACTGTCTTTTGCCTCTTTTTTGTATGCCCACAGCTTAGTACAGTGCCTGGTACATAGTAAGTACTTAATAAATGTTTATTGATTGATTATCTGTTGTCTACCCCATTAGAATGTGATCTCCTTGAGGGGAGAGACCATATTTTTGCCTTTGTTTGTACCCTTAGCATTTAGCACAATACCTGACCCATAATAAATACTCAATAAATGTCTGTTGACTGAACAGCTGACACCTACCTATATTCTTCTTCAATAAAATCCTCACATAACAGATCAATTTCATTATGAAACATGGTATAAAATGGCCCTTAAAAAGTACTAAATACATCCACTAGTGTGTTAAGGAATAAAAACAAAATTATCCTTTAAAAAAGCCCTGAATCTTGAGAAAAAAATCTTGGTTTGAATCCAGTCTTGATTATTTACCAGCTATGTGATCTTAGGGAATTTGCATCATTTTTTTGTGTCTCAGCCTCCTCACCCCTAAAATGAGAAAGTGGGACTGGATGCTGTCCAAGGTTTGGTGCAGTTTGGTGCAGCAGAAAGGGTACTAAGTGTAGTAAGTGTCTGGAGAGCAAAGTTTGAATCCTGGCTCTGTCACTCATTCCTTTTGGGACTTTGGACTTTCTTTACCTTTCTGGGCCCAAAAACCCTTATATTTAAAAGAGGAAGTTTGTATTATGTGATATCTAAATTTCAATCCAGCTCTAAAGATGACAAAATTAGGATCCTAAATTCTTTCCTGCTTTAAATCATATGAATGCTAGAGTGAAGAAGAGAACATACTTTTTTTTACAATCTTCTTATTATGTAATCAAGTCACACGAGATAATAAAATCCAAAAAGCAAACCCTTGAAATGCCCATGTAAGAGGAAATGCCCTGTAAAAAGATGCTACAGATTAGAAAATTAGTTGGTTTTCAAGTGAGGGTCAATCCTAGCCCTAGTTAAGTAAATGACTGTAATAATTCTCTTTAGATGACTGTTATTTCCTCGGAGAAGGAAGCTTCTTCTCAGGGTTTTATAAAATACTGAAGAACTAGAACAGTTAATGACCCTCTAAGGAATAATTTACACTCATTTTTTTCTTGTTTTTAGGGGAACAATTTAAGTAAAGAGCTATTGAAACAATATTAAGTACTATCATTTAAGTAGTGGAAAGAGCATGAGTTCTAGAATCAAATGACCAAAGTTTGAATCCTAGCTCTGGCAACTACTACTTTTGTGACCTTGGGGACATTACTTCACTTCTTTGGACCTCAGTTTCCTCATTTGTAAAATGAGGTGGTTGGATTAGATCGTGGGTCCATGGGACCTAAAGTTTGTTTTTGTATGATCCATGAACTAAGAATGTTATTTAAGCATTTTATTTAATTTTTAAATACTTTATTTCAAAAGAAATACTTTAATAGACAAATACTGAAATACTTCATTTAAAATGCAAATCATTTTAGCTCTTAAATCTTACAAAAATCAGTTGCAGGATGGATTTGGCCCTCAAGTTTTAATTTGCCAAAGGACTTTTCAGTTCCCTTTCAGATTTAGAACTTGCTTCCTATAAAAATGGCAAATCTGGTGAAGTAAAAAAAAAAGACACTGGCAATGTAAACAGCTGAAATAAATCACTACATGGTACAATATACTGCTTTATTTCCTTGATATTGATTTACAAGTGCTCTTAGCCAATTCCACTTTGTATCTTCATTCAAAGACTGGAAACATGGAAGCATAAGGTCAATAAGACTTTCCTGAGCCATGGAAGCACATTGTTCTAAAGGTTATATGGGTGGCCATTACTATAAATTTAACAGAAAACAAAAAAGTAAGGATGAGTTTTCGTGTGTTACAATCCAGTCCTACCCACTGAGATGACATTTTTCATTATCTTAGTCATTATAACTTATTGAATTATTTAGACTCCAGACACTCATTTCTTTTTATACAGGTTTAAATTCCTGGCACCCTGAAGGTCAAGAAAGAAAGTTTGGTTCAGTTACTAAGATTCTTTCCTGGTTAATTGGAGGAAAGACTTCAATTCATAGTCAGGAGTCTTCTTTCACAGGCTCCATCGCCATTCTCTCCACCAGCATTGCAATGCCCACCATAGCACAGCTACTATAGATTGTGGATATGCTTACCCTTTCCCACAAAAGCAAGTAACAACCTGAATTAGAAGGTGGGATTTTTAGAAGAGTGGATAAATTACCTCAAATAAAGAATTGAAAGTGGGGCATGATCTGCATCATTGTGGTCACTTTCCTTCCTTTTCCCCAACCTTTAGCAATGTCCAAAGGGGGTGGTTCTAAGCCCATTGAGGATCAGGAATACAATGACCACTGTCCAGTAACCAGAAACTTATTCAGAAGCATTTTCGGTGGACAATAGGTGGACCAGACTCATCATATTCCTGCTTGCTGATCCACATCTGTTGGAAGGTAGACAGGCTGGCCAGAATGGAACCACCAATCCAGACCGAGTACTTACGCTCTGGAGGAGCGATGATTTTAATTTTCATGGTGCTGGGTGCCAGGGCCAGTATTTCCTTCTGCATCCTGTCGGCAATGCCAGAGTACATAGTGCTGCCCCCCGAGAGCACAGTGTTGGCATAGAGGTCCTTGCGGATGTCCACATCACATTTCATGATGGAGTTGAAAGTTGTCTCATGGACTCCGCTGGACTCAATGCCCAGAAAGGATGGCTGGAAGATGGCTTCAGGGCACCGGAACCGTTCATTTCCAATGGTAATTACCTGCCCATCAGGGAGTTCATAACTCCGTTCCAGTGAGGATGATGTGGAAGCACTGACCATCTCTTGCTCAAAATCCAAGGCCACGTAGCACAATTTCTCCTTGACATCACGCACTATTTCCCGCTCAGCTGTAGTGGTGAAGTTGTAGCCACGCTCAGTGAGAATCTTCATGAGATAGTTGGTCAGATCCCGGCCTGCTAAATCCAGGCGCAGGATGGCATGGGGCAGGGCATACCCTTCATAAATGGGCACAGTGTGAGTGACTCCATCTCCAGAGTCCATGACAATGCCCGTCGTTCGTCCAGAAGCGTAGAGGGACAAAACAGCCTGGATAGCCACATACATGGCAGGTGTGTTGAAGGCCTCAAACATGATCTGAGTCATCTTCTCCCGGTTAATCTTAGGATTGAAGGGCGCCTCAGTGAGTAGGATGGGGTGCTCATCTGGGGCCACACGCAACTCATTATAGAAGGTATGATGCCAGATCTTCTCCATGTCATCCCAGTTGGTGACCACCCCATGCTCAATGGGATACTTCAGAGTGAGAATGCCTCTCTTGCTCTGGGCCTCATCTCCAACATAGCTGTCCTTCTGGCCCATTCCTACCATGACACCCTGGTGTTTAGGTCGTCCAACAATAGAGGGGAATACAGCCCGAGGGGCATCATCACCACCAAATCCAGCCTTGCACATCCCTGACCCATTATCTACTACCAGGGCAGACAGCTCATCATCAGTCATGGTGCTCGCTGGATCTTGCAGAAGGCGTGGCTTGAGTTCAAATACAGAAGATGTACTTGTAGGAAGAGAGTAGGAAGGAGGATAAAATTGTCTTTAACCTCTCTAGAAGTACTGGCAGGAGAGAAACACTTGGGTTGTGACAAGACTCTTTTAAAAGAAGCACACTGACTCCACCCATGTCTTGTCTCATTACATTATACCCCCATCCCTCCTAGTGCTCCCAATTAGGGTCTCCTTCTAGGTGTTAATAATGATTTTGTAGACCTTCTACCATAAAGAGGAAAAGTGGCTACCAAATCCACCAGTGACTGTAATTAGAAAACCCACATAAGAATGTCTGGCTGCTATGGTAGTGACTGGATAAACATGGTGATGCAATATGGAATATAAAAAGATGAAAGGCTAAGATGTGGGCAGTGCTATGAGAATAATGACTCCATCCTCTCATCTGCCCTTGGGGAAAGAATTCTTCATGTGAGCTGTGACTTCTGACAGCATATAATGTTGATATTTGCATTTTTGCACTGGTCCCACTCTGCATATTCCATGTATAATGATAGCCCTATATACCATACTCTCAACCATAGTAGATAGTTCTGTGAGGAGAATTAATGTAATAGATAAAACAATTTCATAGTCGAGGGAGTACCGATAACTTCAGTCAGAATCTCATTTGTACCTTGTGCACAGTTTAGAGATATTTAATAGAAACAAAGGGGCAGCTAGGTGGTACAGTGGATAGACTACCAGGCCTAGAGTCAGGAAGATTTAGCTTCATGAGTTTCAAATCTAGCCTCAGACACTTATGACTTGTGTGATCCTGGGCAAATCACTTAACCCTGTTTGCCTTAGCTTCCTCATTTGAAAAATGAGCTGGAGAAAGAAATGGCAAACCACTTTAGTATCTTTGCCAAGAAAATCCCAAATGGGGTCACGAAGAATCAGACACACCTGAACAACAGAAACAAAATTTTGAAACCTTTAAAGATGAAGTTAGTGAGGATCATTAAAAAGCTAGTCAACAATAAGCATTTATTAATCACTTACTATGTTAAAGCATTACACTAAATGATGGTAGTATAAAAACAAACAAAAAGAAAACTTACATTTTAGTGGGGAGATAACACATACAAAGATCATATATCTTTAGACAAATTAATCAGGAATAGATGATAGATGAGAAGACTTGAGCGCACCGAGGAAGTGACTCAGATTCTTCCTTCTGGATTTACATTCTAAATCAACAAATATTCACTAAAAATCTTCTATGTTCTTTCCCCCAGGAGTTTGCAGATTTGTTGAACTTCTACTGCATGCAGTTTTTTTTTTGGTTGGTTTTTTCGTTTTTCTTTTTTTTTTAATTTGCTTTTTGGTGAGGCAATTGGGGTTAAATGACTTGCCTAGGGCCACACAGCTAGTAAGTGTCAAGTGTCTGGTCTCTGACAGGATTTAAACTCAGGTCCTCCTGACTCCAAGGTCAGAGCTCTATCCACTGTGCCACCTAGCTGCCCTCACTGGATGCATTGCTTCTGGATGCTTGTGGGTGCCTGGTACTAATAAGGAGTTAAAACATTATCCATTCACTGGCATCTAAGATGACATGGCTCTTTTATTAGAATAAATAATATTAGATACAATAATTTGAAAACCCACAAATAAAAAAAACAACAACCTGGTCCTTAAAGTATTCTTACACTTTAGATTAAGAAAGGAAAACTAAATGATTTTGTACTCATCAGAATCCAAACAATAGTCCTAGCATTGGTACTTGCTCTGTTTCTCATGTCTGAACTTTCCATCCTCAGCTAGCTTCATAGGAGGCATTCATTTTGATTTTATATGTCCTATAAGAAGACCAGGACAGTTTGTAACACATGATACATTTAGTAGGACAATAACAATGAATTAGGAAGTTCATTACTGTTTTCCCTCTCACAGACTGTCAAAACAAGAAGTAATCTCGCCCGTCTATGCTTCTATAAGACAACATCATTATCAGTTCCCATATTTCTCATGCGTGACTCCCCAGTTTCATTAGAGATGTATACAGTGTATTCAGTACACAGAACTGCTGGTCCTGGCATTGTGCCCAGGGCCCTCCTTATATTGGGTTGTGACACCAGGCTGTGCTCATCTCATCCATAGTTTCCTCTTCAGGCTGAATACAGAATTATCCTCCTCTGCATGTTGTCTGTTATTTTCTTTAATGAACTTTAGAAATCTACCCCCAGAAGAATGCATTTGGTTAGAATTTGTGCTTCTCCAAGAGACACTTTTCTTGCTCTCCTACCCTTAATCTTTTTCTGTAAGTGCCAAAGCTGTCTATCTTGGAACAAACAATATTAAACAATTTCTCTTCCCGCCAAAGCTGACTGGCTCTGGTTTTTTAGCTTTCTTATTAAGCAATACAATAGACCTCTGGGTTCATATAACATTTTATGGCTAAAGAATGATAACTCTGCAATAGTTCTTTGCCCACCTCCCCACTTTAATATTTCTCACATGCTTATGTTGCAAAAATAAAAAAAATAAAATGGCATTTAGAACAAAATTTTATTTGCAAAACCTCTTGATGAATCAAAGCCATATCGATGAAAACAAGAGACTGAGCCCAGCACAGCATGAAGCATAACTGTGCCAGATGCTGGATTGATGGAGCCCTGTCTTTGGAGTATCCCATGAAAGAAATGCTATCTCAAAGAGAAGCCATGGATGCCACACGCTCAAAGTGAGGCCGATTTGTCATTCTGCTCAAAGTCATTTAATCCTCTGTGGTGCATTTGGTTTCCCCAAAGAGGGTCTTGTCCATTGATTATTGCAGAAAGTGTTTTTAATTAGCCCCTGCAATTTAGGGGGGGAATGTTAATTAAGCTGCCATTTAGAGACCTAATCCCCCCAAGCAGGTTAAATGCAAAAGAACCCAAGCAGTAGAAGCATTACCAATAATAGAGAACAAAAAGGAAGAAAGCTAGCTTTACAACTGCAGTACTCGCAGCCCTCTCAAACACCATTACAGCCTTCCCGGTTATGCTGTGTCTGTGAATCAATATTTAGCGCCAGTCACTGAAAAGTCCTCCCAACAGAACAGACCCCTCTATAGTTAACTGCATAACGATAAAATTCATATTTTGCTCTTCATTTTGACTCTGTAGCAGGAAAAAAAAAACCCTGATGCTTACAATTTAGAATCCAAGTCCATAAAAGTCTTACATAGAGGTTAGATGCGACTGCCCATTTACACTAATATCGATGCTTTCTAAAATGGAGTTACTCATGTCAACAAAGGAAAAATATAATGCTCTTTGTGTCCCTAGTTCTCCCCTCGGAAGCTCTTTTCAGCTTTATTCAATGGTTTCCATCTCTAACGTACAGAGTCAGCACTTTTTGAGGTGGGAGTTATGGGAAGCAGGTAGGTGGAGGTCCCAGCCTTGAGATGACAAAGAACCCCAGTTATGTTCTTGGAAACCTATGGAACAGGAAGACTAGAGGGCAAAAGGGGATGGAGATGAGGCTGGGGAGGGACTGGAAGGGGCATCTGAGATAGGACTCCTGGATTGGGGATCAGGAGAATAGGAAACAGCGTGAGTCTTTGGTAGAGGCTCTTCATGGTAAGGAAGCTTTAACTTGAATAACAACCGAAGACTCAAGCTGGACCCCCTACCACATCCTGTGCTTCTGTCCCATCTTCTCTATTCACTCCCATCACCACCACCCTAGTTCAAACCCTTCTCATATCGTGCTTAAGGGGATCTGGATCATATTTACTTCTCATCTAGTATGGGGGAAAGGAAGGGGAAGGCAGGGGAATAAGCATTTATATAGGGCCTACTATGCGCTGGTCACTGTGCCAAGCACTTCTTACAAATACTATCACATTTGATCTTCACAATAATGCAGCAAGCTAGGTACTGTTATTATCCCCATTTTACAGTTGAAGAAACTAAGGCAGACAGAGATTAAGTGACTTGCCCAGGTTCACACAGCTAGTAAGTATCTGAGGCAAGATTTGAACACAAGCCTTCATGACTCTGAGTCCAGCACTTTATTCACTGTGCCACCAGCTAGGTGGAGTCCTGAAGACCTGAGTTAAAATCTTGCCTCAGACACTTACTAGCTGTGTGAACCTGGGCAAGTCACTTAATCTCTGTCTGCCTTAGTTTCCTCAACTGTAAAATGGGGATAATAACAGTGCCTAACTTGCATGGTTACTGTGAAGATCAAATGTGATAATATTTGTAAAGTGCTTAGCACAGTGCCTGACACATAGTAGACACTCAATAAATGCTTCTTTTCCTTCCCTTTCCCTTGTCTAAAGGATGAATTTTTAAATAATTGAGTTATTTAATGGTGAGTTAGAGCTGAGATAAACTGTTTTCTTCTATTTCACCAAGTGGATTTCCCAACTGGTGTCTGCTCCAAGTCTCTCCATTCTCCAGTCCCTCCTCTACTCATCTGCCTAAGAGATTTTCCTGCTTCCTTATTCAATGAAGCTCAGTGGCTCCTTATTACGTCTAGCAAATAAAAATGTCTTTCTTTGTTTATCATTCAAAGCCCTTTCTACAACTTGGCCCCAACCTGCCTTTTCACTTTTTAATATATTCTTCTCCTTCTTGCATTCAAGGTTCCAGACAAATTGACACTCTGGAGATTTCTCACGTTCATATAAAAACATGGCTAAAATATTCAAACACGAATAGGAAATTAAGGTATAATATCCCCTTTAAGGAAAACCATATAAAGCAAAAGTAAGGGATGGATTTATGTTGAAAACTCTGATGAGTTGAGATCAAAGCCAATTCACCTTTTTGTTATTGCTTTTGCAGTGTGTATTGTGAATATATAAATACAGAGAAAGATAGCCTTTGATGAAAAATTGTTATGCTCACTAACTATTCTGACCTATTACTTGATTGTTGTATTGGGCATCTTTCAATAAAAAAGTATCTAAAATAAATTTGCCTGCTTGCTACTTGATTGAATTAACTGAAATAGTAATTGTTAAAATATTCTTTACAAATAAATTCTATCTCCTAGAACATTTACAGGACATACACTATTTCAAAAATTGTGATGCATGTTCAATCACATTGCT